AAAAGGTAACTTAAATTCAGTATTCATGAGCCATCCTTTGATACAGTGGTATTTAATGGTTAAGTGATGTTTTTCAGGTATCTAATCTTTATGGGGCTTTTTTTTTAAAAAAAAGTTACTTCTCTCTTTGTCTGGGAAAGAAAATGGGAAGAAACCTTAAGAAATAACTTAATTTTTCATAAGCAGAGCAAAGTCCATTAAAACCTTACTGTAACTTCTTATGCTGAAATAGCTTTTAATTTTTCATAAGCAGAGCAAAGTCCATTAAAAACTAACTTCTTATGCCCTGTTCATTTGGATAATTGCATGCATAACTTCATGAGATAGTTAATGCTTTAGCTTTAAGTGGATTTTTGCATTTTAACAATTTCTGCTATGTCTGTGTCTTCCCTGAAGAGTTTTCATCTGCCAAGTGCTGGGTATGGTTTATCAGGTGCATTTACCAGTCATGTCTTTATTGTTGATTGAAGCTTTGATTTCAGCTGCTTGGCTAAATAGTGTATGGCTAAATAGCAAGTGCTGGGTATGGTTTATCAGGTGCATTTACCAGTCATGTCTTAGTTGTTGATTGAAGCCTTGGATTTCAGCTGCTTGGCAGTCGTGTATGGCTAAATAAATGCAAACTCACAAAGCAAAAACATGTACTTTGTACTTGTTCTCAACAAAACAAACACCAAAAAACCCCAAAAATCAAGGCTGTTGTCCTTCCTACTTGGGAGTCTGATGGATCTGAAATTTACATGGAGAGGTCCTGAGGGAGGGGTTAGGCACCCTTTCACTGCTCACCTGTAGCAGTAGCACATGCAGTTGCATTGCTTTTTGAAGGTCTGAGGAAAATTCAACAGAGATGTTTAACCTTGGATGAGCGAAGCATCCCCTTGAAGAGTAGCTGTGATCTTGACAGCAAGAACCTTTTAGACAGCAAAGTCATACTTGAGGATGGAATAGAGGTTGCTTATGAAAGTAGTTCAAAAACTGCATCAGCAAATACCGATGTCTATTCAGTATCTAAATGTATAAAAGATGGGGTTTCTTAAACATGAAATCAGTTGCCATAAATATACATTTCTCAACATTTTCTTCTTGAAGTCTTCACAAATGCAAAATGGCATAATTACAATGCAAAAAAACCAAAAAAATACCATAGGGAAAAAACCCTATTGGTGTTTTTCTAAAGAGCCTTGAGTCATTTAAAATTGCCTTCTGCTTTACAAAAGAGATACTCTTCCTTATGGGGGAAAAAACGAGTATGACTATGAAGGCAAACATACCCACAAATTTTAAATCATTAGTAGCCCAAAAGACTGTTTTCTTTGAAAATGTTTAGAGTTTTCTTGTCATGCTTTGGGCATAGCAGTTACAAAGTGGTTAAACAAAAAGCAGTATTAGGTACAATAATTTTTGTACCAGTCATCTTAAATATATTTATATTCAGTGATTGAATTGTTAGAATTAAGAAGTGAAATTTGCATCCTTAGTTGTGACAAAAAAGAATCAAAGTCTTAAAGGACTAAGGACAACTTGAAATGCATATTAGCAGTATAAGAGAAAAGAACAAATCAACAAAGGCTGGATTTAGTTAGAAATAATTATATGGTTAATTATGGTACAGGACAGTCAAAGTAATTTCTGAAAATTGATTAGATAATATAGGTAATAATTTAAGAATATGCTGTAGTTGGCAGTTTGCAAACTTAAACTAACTGTAAGTTCTAGAAAACTTGGTGATAATATAATGTCTAATACTCTAGAGAGGGGTCCTGATTCTGCAGCAATATTTTGAACGAGCTGCATAGCTAAGTTAAATGACAACTCTATTTTGTCTTTACAGGTAGGGAAAGGCATTTAGATGTGCATAATTGGGTTTACTCTTCCAGTAGTGCCCTAGAAGAACTTCTGAAAACAGTCATTAATAAACATGGCATGTTTGAATTCAGAATCTTACATACACTTAATGCAGAGGTCTGATTGTGCATATCCAGTAGCTGTTACCATTATAGTCTTGATTGGTGCCACCATTCTAGGTGTCAACTTAATGATTCTTGTGCATGTGTGCTTGTTTTCTGTTGGTCTCTGCATTGTTTCTAATGATGCTAGAACATTAGGTATTTTATTAGACATTATGCAGGTACTTAAGTTAGTTGGTTGCTGCAGGTATCAGTCAGGAAGATAAGGACTTCTCTACCTTGATGGCCTTTCATGCTATTTTAATTTGATGCTGGACCCAAAAAATTAGTCAGCTGTTTGGAGGGGCAGAAGGTCCTCAGCACTTCTGATGATATAAGTTTTTATAGGTCATTATCACATTTGTATGTGGAAAGTAATTTTTTTTCCCCCTGACTTGAAAGAACCACTGGTGAATCACCACAGCATCTGAGTTACTACATCAAAGCACTGAAATGAAAAAACAGTACTTTTACAGCTGTTGACACAATCAAATATATTCTACTATGAATTTATTTATTTTTTTAATATAGAAGTAATTTTAGAACCTGAGGTTGAGCTTCTTATTTGTAGAAAGTTTGTGTCATTATGTTGTTATGCTATGACTACAATGAATTGTCCTTGTGAAATGCAGCAGTCATAGGATAATAACTGGCTGGTTAAGAAAAGCCAATGGCTTGCTTGTGACAGAGAAATAGCAGAAGCTGTCAGAGATTTCTATTGCATCCAGCCCTTCAGTTAATGGTTTTATTCAAATTAGAATAATTCATTAGAAGTCACAGCTTGGTAAGACTCAGACAAGAGATACATAATGAAATAACAGTGACTGTATTTATCTTAGCAAAGCTCAGCATTGAAGGCTGTTTGTAATTTCAGTATTCCTGTAGTTCTGCTCCTGGAATATTTTGATGGTCTGCCAAATCATGCAGCTGGACAAATACCATCCCTTTGATTACTGTTGGGAATCTTTGAACACGGAGAGCAGAACTTAGCTTAGATAAAGAACACCGTGTTTTGTGTTCAATTTCCTGCTGTTCTGTGATAGCGGTTAGATTCTGGTAAGGACTGAAAATCATGACTTTTGTTACCTGAATCTGACTATGCTCCTGAATTAAGTATATAAATTCTTTTCTCTTGCTAGATTTGTGACTTTTTAGCAACATTATGCTTTTATTTCATACAAGTGGCTAATTTTTAATTAATTTAATCATCCTTAAGCCCCCCTTTTTTTTTAGCATTGATATTGTACAAGACGAGCAATAATTCTGTGACCCTTTGCTTGGCTAACTTAAAAGTAAAAATTTTCTCACCTTAAAAATATGAATAAGGTCATCCTTCTATTTTTTTAACAAACCTAGAGATGATGAATTAAGATTGTTCTCAGGAAATTTATTTGTGGTGGTCCTTCAGGTGTATGAGCAAGAGCAAAATGCTCCTTTCAGTTACGGTCTGTACAGTGGCAGTCATTTTGATTGCTCAGGGCAAAAAAAGAATTGCAGATCTTCCAAAGGGTTCTGTGCACCAAGGAGACCAGAATAGGAGTGTACCTATATTCAAATGATTTCTTGTCTTCACAGGTACAGGCAGTGTAGAAAGGATTGATTGATCACTTACTGAGCATGATTTTGTATCTCATGTTAAGATTTCAAGAGACCAAAAAATTGCAAAAACGTCAGTTAATGTGTTGTCTCACTCACCTACTCATCTCCAGTGCATTAAAGCTAAGGCTAATTTCCACTTATTCCTTTCAGTCCCATGAGGTAGTGTGGGGAACACAGCTTTGTGCATTTCATACTTTGAAAACTATATATTAATGGTTAAGTGTGGAAATGATAGAGTTGTCTTTATTCAGGAAGGGGTTGTAGTTTGCCACACTCAGAACCTGGAAAGATAAAATCTGCTGTAAGTATATGCATAATTTGAGTCCTGCATGGAGATTTATTGCAGGAAAAATAAACTGAAGTTACGAGTGCATAATATTCAGTGATGCTGCATAGTGCCATGGGAGGTGTTCAGCATTATTGTATTTATTTTTCCATTATTTTCCAGTTTTATTCAGCCTAGTGCTACCCTTATTTGGAATACTAGGCACTCAGTCTGGCAGGTTAATCTTCCTGTTTATTATGTTTCATGATTCTACAGAATAACACATTTTAAATTACTATATGTTATAAACAACCAGATTAGAAATTGCTTCAGATGTTGAGAATAAAATTGTTCTAAGTTGTTTTTTGTAATTAATTAGCAAAGTTTTGCACTGAATAGCTCCATTGCCAACTTCAGCTGGGAAAAAACAGATTGTGAGATTTTAAACATTCTTAATGAAGGTTTCTTACACTTAAAAGCATGCTGTATTAGTGCTGCATTTCCAGAATATGGTAGTGTTACTTACAAAGTATTTTGTTATTGTTTCAAACTAGAAGTAAATTTAGAGGCAACTTGTAGTTGGCACAGAGCATTTATTTCTGGTATGTCTACATTAGTTTTTGCCATTTACAACACATCCTAGCATAGCACTTCAAGATGAGCCAGCTCTTGTGGAGTGTCTGGGCATGGGTACATAAAGGTTTGTGTGTTTTCACACTGTTTATTCGTACCTAGTATCTGCTACTGCTTTAGGCTATTTTTCCTTGTTTCAGTGAATGTGGGGGTTTGTATCCAAATGCTATATGGTTTTTGGGATGGTGCTAGTCTCAGGTATTCTGTAATAAAATCACTTTAAAATAACTCTTTTTAAAGTTACAACTTCAGGAAGATTTTACGTGGAGAGAAGGCACTGTATTTGCTGACACTAAAATACTATTAATGCATGTAAGGTGCACTGAAAATGCATGATTCTTTTCTAACCTTTATGGTTTAGCACTTTGGAATAATTTAGAAAAACATGTTCTTTTAAAAATATGTTCATTAGCTTGTTCAGATATAACTAAAAAAGCTGTTTTTAAAGGCATGCATCCAGAGACATGCACACAATGAATTCAAAGTGCCAATGTTTCAGGGAATCTAAATTATTTTCAGAATTTCAGAAATTGAGAAGGGATAAGTGGAAGGAGAAAATGTTGGGCTGGTGCCAAGCGATAGCTCGTAACCCTCACAGACTTCCAAACAGCACAAGAACACCCGAGGTCTCAGGTGATGCTTCACATAACTCTACTTTGGTGAGTGAAAAGTTGCATTTCGTGATGGTGGCATGCTCAGAACTTGAGAGGTGTTAAATTTGTTTTAAAAGTTGTACTGTCTCCCATTGTTTGCATTTCCTCCACGTGCGAAACCCTTTGATATAACATCTGGTTACTCTTTCTGTTTGCTTTTTTTGGTCTTTTATGTTGTGCATGGTTCATTCTGACTTGCATGCTGTGTCTATAAACAAGTATTGATGTTTTGTCAATGGTGAAGTCTTTAAGCAGGAGATGACCCAATATGGGTCACTTAGATTCTTTGTGATCCCAATCAATGCAATGGCATTTGGTCCCTGATGAATACAGCAGGACATTATCTAAAGGCACCTCATTTACTCTTTGTTCCTGCCTGTAACAGGAACAAAGTATCATGTGTCTAAACTTGTCAGACAGCTGGATTTTAAAATTATCTTCATACATTAAACATGCTGTTGCAAGAGGTGGTTGAGTTTCTGCATGCAAAGCTATTGAGAGTAGATGTTCAGGCAATGTAAAGTTGACAGTTTACATGGTGGAGTTAAAATGTATCATGTGAAACTGAATAAAGTTACTCATTGATAAGAATTCTAATCCCGCAGTTTTTGTTCATTGAAATAAAGCCACTTACATCACTAGACCTGGCCAGGTGAGTAAGAACTGGTACTTGTATGTAAAGGCTTCCAACTGCCCCGTCTCTAAGAGCAAAAATTGTCTACTTGCCTGCTTGTGTGAATTCAACTGACACTTCCAGGCTTCAGCAAGACTGAATATTTGAAACATATCCAGTTCAATATGCCTGCTCCATTCATTAATGAATGTTAAATAGGCACTGTGTTTCCCTATCCTGAGAAACAGGAGTGATTAGGAAATACTGCCCTGCAGTTCTTGAAACATGTACAGGGTGACATCGAAGCTGAAAGGTGAATCATTGTTCCTAACTACTGAAGAAATGTGATAGTCCAAATGAAGAGACAGGGGTCTGCTTGAAAGCTGTTGAAATTTTGGTGAAATAAAGCCCCTAATCAATGTGGCAAAATTATTATGTTCAGTGGTCAATTATACAGAATGTAAGTTTCTGATATAGAAGAGAATGCAAAAAGACAGCATTAAAACCTGCAAATTTTATAGTTTATTATATATATCCCAGAATACTGTTATACCTCACTTTCCTCTAGAATACTTCCAGAGAAATAAAAGGAAATTAAAAATCAATGATTCTGTGAAAAAAATGTCAAGTATATTATCCCCGCATTTAATTACTGTTGCTATTTTATTTCTAAATTTTATTTAATTGGTTTTACTATTTAGCTATTAATAGTAATAGGAGGTAGCTATTAAGGAATTGGGATATCTGGAAATTTGCATATTTTGATTTCTGCTTGACTGCTATTCAACATTTAATTTGGTTTGATATTCATGAGATAAGCATTCCAGTCTACCAGATGGGATTTAGAAATGATGAACTGGAAATACAGTTCAGAACTGGTGAATCCATAGACTTAGTATCTTTTAACCCTATTAATATTAAAACTTGTTCAAAAATAAGTTTGCATGTAGACTGCTGCTTTGTTGATGTGAGAAAGCCAGAGAAATAAACTGCTGGGGACAATACTGTGTGTCATTCAGTATCATGATTGGCTGTAGAACAATAATCTTCTCAACAGGAAATAAAGCAGTCATGTCTCTTGAGGACTGCCAAGCTTTCCTTTTCATTTTGTTTGCTTCCCACTCTCTAAACCATGACTTTTTCTGTCCCTCACGTCTGAAGACAATGATACTCAGTATAAGCTTTTGCTAGCAATGTCTTTCCAGCTTGCAGGATGTTGACTGAAAATCCTTATTTCACTTGTGAACATTTGTAATCTGAAATTTTGTTTGAAATCAGTTTTGATTTTGCTTAGTCGTCATTACCTTTTCAATATTGAAATATTTTCTGGCTGGTCTTGAGTGAAGATACAGAGTTTAGTGCTGGAAACTGAAAAATAATGAAACAGCAGAAAATAAAGAATATAGCAAATTGTTCTAAGTGTACAGAGCCACTTCTGGTGAGCTATTCAAGCCCGTTCTTTCTGAATTAAATTTAATTTTTCTGTGCATTGCAGCTCCTCTGTGGACCTGATTCCCTCAGTATGGGTTTATTTCATGAGTCTTGTGCCCCTGTGAGTCTGTGTCATGAAGACCCAGCTCTTTGCTTCCTTATTCTGTAAGTGACAAGTCTGGGTTTGGAAGGAAGCAAAGTGGAATGCAGACTGGATCTTTTTTTTACCTCTGCCATATGCTTTTGCGTACACTTCAGAATATCTTCTTTATTTCAGAATTTCAGCGAAGACATTAAAAAATACTTTCCATTTAAAACTAAAGTCCCAAAAAATGGGAATGCCTAAAGTGGGCATTTCATAATGCCACCTTTCTGAAGGGAAATTATCTGAATATGGCAATCAACTCTCATTCATTTTTTCACAGAATCCTGGAATACCAGGATGGAAGGAATCTCGAGGATCATGTGGTCCAACCTTTCTTGGCTTAAGCACCATATAGACAAGATGGCACAGCACCATGTCTTGCTCAGTCTTAAAAATATCCAGTGTTGGGGGAATCCAGCACCTTTCCTTCGGAGATTATTTCAATTGTTCTCATTGCAAAACATTTTCCTCTTGTGTCTAATCTGAGTGTGCCCAACTTGTACCCATTACTTGTCTTTTGCTTCTAACTCCTTGTAAAAGGAGTCTTCATCTTCTTTGTAGCCACCCTTGAAATACTGGAACACGATGATAATGTATATCTCCCCTAAGCATTCCTTTCTGTAGGCTGAACAAACCCAGTTCTCTCAGCCTTTCCTCATGTGGCAGGCTTCCCAGTCCATTTTTATGGAAAGAAATATTTTGCTCTCTGTGAAAAACAGGAGGGAGCTTACAGAGCAGGAAGCAGGTTATGATCATTAAGAAATTGCTTTGTTCATTAAGCAAGGAAATGGAATGCTGAACACCAGTGGAGAAAAAATACAGAAGAATTAAACTCATGAAAACACTGGAATGTATTTGAAGAGTTTAATAAAAGCAGTTGCACCATTTCATTTTATTTCATGTTAAGATGTTCTAGCTTCATCCAAATCAAATAAATTCTGAAATATTTGAGAAGAATTCAGCTAAGGAGTCTTGGGAACATTTTTCTGTTATTGTTGTCAACTTAATTGTAATAATATCCCCAAACTTTATCATCTTAGTCTACTTTATTTGAAGATTAAAACCTTGCATTCAGTTTTAGATGGCACTCTAGCTTCTTGGTTTTGAGCACACCTTGAAAATTTTGAATCATTCTGTCATCAAATGAGGCATAAGTTCTCAAAAAGTACTGTTTAGTATTGTAGTTTATTGGATTTGAGGGTTTGTATTGATAGCTTTAGATTCATAGTGAGTAAATTTTTTTTTTTAATACTTAAAACAATTTCATACAGTCAGTTAACTTGGTGTCGTAGAACATAAACCTGGAATTTACTTTGCCTCTCTGATAGCTAGAAATCATCTCTTTATCGAGCTGAATTTATTATCAGTTTGTTTCTGTATGCATTGTTTCTAAACTTTGAAGATCCATCCTTTGTAATGTTCATCATATTTTGAGAGACTTGTAATACAACTTTCCCTTTTTGTCATAGTTTTCATATTTCCATGTATCTTTTCATATTTCGGAGTATCTTAAAATGTCTTGTCTATTCCTGCTCCAGTTTGAACTGGGATGATCAGTTTTACACAGTATTCCAGATCAAGCTTTCTGTTCCTAACAATTGTAACATTGTCTGTCCAGTAACACATTTATCATACTGCATAGACTTAGCATCACTTTATTGATACTTTTTTGTAGCTGCTATTTCAGTTTTGAGACCAAACCGCTAGATTATGTTGGCTTTTAATACATGAGGACTGTATCAATTCAAATTATTAATGCTTTTCTGTCCTTTTCTATTCACCAGGCAATATGCAAAATAATCTTTTTCATTTTTCCCTTTCTCTGATATTTTCCAGAATTGGGGAAAGAATAGTAATGTTTTTTCCTTTACTTGATGAGAATCTATATCTTGAAAGCTCATAATTTTATGCAAGAAAAGTATTTGCAGGGTTTTTGTCTTCTGAAAAGATAATGATTATAATTGAAAATAAGGAAATTATTTCTTCATTAATCAGTCTGTGCTGACAGTATCTATTTGTACTGTGACTCTGTAAGCATATGTATATGTGGTGAGTTCAAATTATTTTGATGGGAATACGTAAATATGTATTAACATTGATTAAATCATTTGCCTAGAAGCAGTTCTATGTTCGACTGGTTTTGCAGAGTGTTTCTCTGGGTCCTAGTTCAAAACTTGAGCATTGTTATAACCTATGTTCCCAGCTATTATTTGCAGCCTGTTCTGCATAGGGCATGGGCTGGTCCTTAATTCAGTACATCATGTGAAACACATGGAGCTAATGGCACAAGAGCACGTACTTGGTGCTGAATTGTAGCCATTAGTATAAACTGCTTTTCCCTGTTGTATTCCCATCCTGAATTATAGGTGAGTATATGTGGAAGTATAGTCAGGTGAGTAACTAGGTAATTTGCGTTTCTATATACAAATGAAATGTAGAAGTCATGGCAAATGATCAAGCATGTGGTTTAACTCTAAGGCAGGATTTCTTTTTATGTGAGCAAATGATGCCATCTGCTTCTCCAAGAGAAAGTAAAATATGATTATGAATGATCTATTTGACACAGGTAGGTCCCATGTTGTCACATCTGATTTTGACTAAGCAAGTGAATAGTAGTCAATAGTCATTCTGAAATATAATTAAACAAGGAAAAGTGTGTGTGGGGGGGGGGGGGTGGGGGTTTTTTTGCTGTTCACCCTGACAGACAGCTCAGCCCCCTACAGCTGCTTTCTCACTCGATCAGTGGGATGGGGAAGAGAAGCAGTGAGGAAAGGTGAGAAAAAACATATGTTGAGATAAAGACAGTTTAATAGGCAA